TTAGCGCCGACCAGAAAGTGTCGATAAGTTCCGCACAAAGAATACGAAACTTTCGCATCGTTGGCGAAACCAACAGTGGTTCCGTCTGTAAATGACGAAACCTTCTGCAATTTCACAAAACTATCAGAGGATTGGCACATGATGTACGAAACCACCCACATTTTACGGAACCTTCAAAGAGTTCCGACGCAAAAGTGCGAAACCTTCAAAGGGTTCCTGCGCAAAATTGCGCAACCTTTTGAAATCTGCTGAACTTAAAAAAGTTCTGAAAGGCGACCACGGAACGTTTTCCACTCCACGGAACGTAAAATCGTTCGGTGGAAAATTGCGGAACTATTAAGGTTCGGTAGAGTACCGATTTTTTTTAGAGTGTAGTCCCTATCACACACTAATGGTGCTGAAAAATCTTCCAAAACAAGGCAGTGAACGAACTAGAGCAATAATTTAATAATAGCGTCTTGCAAGATGGTACCAATTGGGACTTCTAGACGATGTTGAAATCTCGAAAAAATTCTTATTGACTGAAGGCAGATAAATACAATAATCGTCTCATTTGGTGATTTATAATTCATGATTGGGGCGTAGTAAATGCACTCTCATTTCTCAAGTCAGAATACAAAATGTCTGCCAAAATTAGCCATAATCACTCTTAGATATGACTCTACATACAAGTATGATATTAGAACATGGAAAAATAGCCAAAATAAGATACGATTGTGGCTAAAAATACACAGAATATACCGCGTATTTCTCCAATACATGTAAAACCCCCGGGGACTTCTATTATTGTAGGGTCGGGGGCTACTAATGCGACTTTCGCGTAGAAGACTCAAAAAAGAACTCAGAGAAAATATAAGAATAAAAGAAAATCAATGACTCGATCTCGATCTAACGTAAGTGGTAAAAGTTTTGAATTCTGTTGTCCAAAATATCAATTAAGTTGAAACAGCTTGAAACAGACTTTTTTGATTTCTCTCATTTTTTTAAATTAAAAATTTTTCGTAATGTTTTTGATTTTTTCTAATTTTAAATTACTGCATTTTAAATCAAGAAAATAAGAAAAATCTGATTTTAGCTGTTCCCCTTTTGTAAAACAGTCATTGTTTCAATGATCTGGACTATGTATTTGCGATAAGTTCAAATAATCTTACAGAAATCTATGAAATTTTATATAGAGACACAGGGGCGTAAGTGGGCCTCTACCCAGGTCGTCAAATCCGATACAGAATCCTATCGGATCTTATAGGATCCTAGCAGCCGACATAAACCGATGGGATTCCGGGTTGAAAAACGACATTCGGATCCTTAGTGTTGGAATTCGATCGGATCCCAATGTAGAATCCGATAATGAAATCCTATGTAATTTACTATTTTGACATCAAAAGTTGAAATTCGATGTTTTTAACAAGGCTGAGATGGAGCCGATGGGATCCGACTTTAGGATACTATCGGTCCCAACACTAAGGATCCGAATGTCTTTCATCAACCAGGAATCTTACAGGAATTCGTCGGTTTACAAAAACCCACGTTAAATCCGATCGGATTCCTATTGGGATCGGATCGGAACCGATTGTAGGATTGATTGACCTGGTTATGTATATACATATATATATATATATATCATTCATTTAGTCCATTTCACTACCAAGTGATGGCTAGCCCGACAACACTCTTTTACCACTTCAAATCGAGGTAAACCAATGCTTATTTATTCAGGATATGTTTATCGACAAAAAATGTGAAATACTGGGTTTGTCAATCAAGTAGCTGTGCAGCGAATGTTCATACAAATGCAAGCGATCAATTCATTAAAGCTAATGGACAACATCGACATTTGCCTGCACCCGAACGTATTGAACTTCGAGATCTGAGAAACAAGGTAAAGGAGAGAGTGAGGGCTGAAGCAACTTCTGTGCCCAAAATTTATGAAGAAGAATTAGCTGGTTCTAATATATCTTCAGTCGCTCTTATCCTTGCACCACTTCCTGCTGATGCGAGTAAGTTGTTTATCTATTTTAATTACTAATATGTCGCCCTTCTTCATAGAGTCTATTTTCAATCGCGTGCGCCGCAAACTAACCCCACCGATACCCAACTCAAGTGATTTCGACATCCCAGATAGATATCGAAAAACACTTTATGATAAACCATTCGTGGGTTCCGATAGGTTTATCAGAAGCAAACGAATGATTTTATTTGCGACTGATCAACAACTTGAAACGTTGTTTTCATCTGAATGGATTTTTCTCGATGGTACATTCGATACATGTCCATCGCAGTTCAAACAAATTTATATAATCCATTCTTTGAAATTCCAACAGAGTGAGTTATCAATTATTCGAAGCCTTTACTGTATATTGTCGTTTAGATTTTCCATGTGTTATAAGTCTGCTTTCAGGAAAATTTACTGATATATATATCTACAATTATTTTCCGAACTGGAATATCATGCTGACCGATTAAATCTCAAATTTGAACCACGACATGGCATGTCAGATTTTGAAATGTCTTTGATTAAAGCCGTTAAACAAAAGGTTAGTGTTTTTTAGATTTATCCTCAATTTTCATTTTTAGTTTCACTAGTTTCCAATGGCAATGCACCATGGTTGTTTTTTCCACTATTGTCAATCGCTGTACAAAGAAGTTCAACTACTTGGTCTGACAACAGCATATTTTGACGATGATAGTACTCGTTTATCTTGTCGCAGCACAATGGCTCTCGCTCTTCTGCCCATCGAGCTTATAGAAGAAGCTGTACAGCTTATTGAAGATGATTCGCTTACAGAAATGGCTGACTTCTTTAGGTATTTTAAATACCAATGGTTAACACGAGTGCCTCCAAAATACTGGAATGTGTCAACTCTCGAATTTCGTACTAACAACTTCGCCGAGGGTGAGCTTTTTATCTGTTCTTGAAAAGTGTGCATCTCTCTTTTTTCACATAGGTTGGCACAACAAGTTCAACAATCGTGTCGACAAAAATCATCCTAACGTTTGGCGTCTGTTTGAATGTTTACAACGTGAAGAATTATCATTTCGACAACAATTAGGAAAAGTTAATTGTTCTACACTGTAAATTTTTTTGAAATTCTACATTTCAGAAAATCGACTTTGAAAACGTTGAAGCATTTTCAAACTTTCATTATTCAATCGTAGAATTTTGAAAAGTTTGAAAATGCTTGATTTTCTAATTTATAGAAAATCGATTTGATTTTCGAAAAAATGCATTTTCCAAACAATTGGAAAATCAATACTGACTGTCACAAAAACCCGAAAATCAAGATGGATTGTGAATACAGTCCGAAAATCAATTTCGATTTGGAAAAAATCAGCTTTGAAATATCAAGAAATGTAGATTCATTCATTTCTTCTTGTCAGCTTTATTTTCAATTCGTTAAACCAAAGGACATAGAATTGTGAAATGGAAATAAAGCTTATTATACTCAAATACGTGATGTGTTAATGAATTTATTTGAAAAAAGTTTTTCATGAATGTATTAGAGAATAAAAAAATATATCTCAGATTGATGACAATATATTCTTTATCATTAGCGAAATGTGGAACACTAGCGGATAACGTCAAATAAAAAGATTAGAGATTTTTATTTTCTATTTATTGAATGAAGAAAAAATTCCATTATTCGTCGAAATAAAATATATTATTTATATTGAAAATAAATGGCATTTTATTGTTTATTGTTATGACACAGTTATAGTAAAATTTAAGAAAAATTTGTGGTGTTATGAAATTAAATCATCACATGCTAATCTTCTATTCAACAAAAATGAATTTCTAAAGCATAAAGCAGAAGATGGTGATCGAATAAATAATTTATGTTTTATTCGTGTACGTTAGCATTTAACTATTGTCGAATAATTTTTTGTATGTATTTATGTTGATAAATCTACTCAACATGTTTACAAATCTTTCTTATTTATTTGCTTGTTGCAGAATCAAGAAAAATTAAACGTTTTATCTGATATTTTTTTCTGTCTTTCTATTCTATTTTAGATTAATAATCTATGGACTCGACTAATCAAAATGCCTCCACTGGTTGATCGCGAATGGTATTCATAAATCCGTTAATAAATTTAAAGGTATCGATCAATAACTTATTCTATGATTATTTAATCTATTTTTTATCTATTTTAGTAGAAGAAATTTATGGTCAATCGTTATTAAATTTAAGTTCATCATCAATTGAAGAATTATTATAGTTACAACGGAAGATAATTCTGTTTAGAAAAACCAACCATCGATGTTAAAACAACATTTGAAAAAAAAACAATTGAAGAAATTGAACGACAGTGTTTGTTTAACTAGTAAGTAAATGTTTTTTTTATTTGATTTTACTGGTCACATGTGTCTTTTTTCTATCTTAGTACAGTGTATCATTGGATGAAAAACAATCGGATCTATTTATTCAACAATTACAATCGAATGAATCAAAATTTGCTGTTTTTCAATGATTTCAATGTGGATAGTGAACAGCTGTAACTACAAGTAGTTTTGTCAACTGCATCTACATTAAATCAATCTCCTGCTCAATCTTCAACGAATATTAATGTTTTACAATTTACTGACACATCATCTAGTCAAGCGATCCATGAACAATCATCAAATAATTCTTCGACAAATACAGCATAATCTCAATGAAGAGAACAATTTCGATTAAATTATGTGCATTCAAGATTTAATGAAGCATTTGAAGAAACTGCTGAATGTCCATCATCATCAGACTTTGAAGCACGATGCAGCAAGAAGCAACAATTAGTTAAAACAATTTGTGACGATATGATCAATGTTTATGATATTAATTTTTATCCAATATCATATGAATTTGATCGAATGATATTTAGCATTAAAAATAAATATCCAACACATGGTAAAATATTTGGTGAAGGTTATGGTATGAACGATAGAAGATACAATACTTCTTTAATCTTTATTTATTTTTTGTTTCTCATTTAGGGTTTGTTTACATCAACATTAAAACAATAATTCTCTCGTGATCGACAAGTATCCATTGTTTATCTGAAGTTTTGATGGAAAAAAGTCAATCATATGATCATCAAATAGCAGAAGAAAATAAAAATTTGTAAAGATTGGTTTGGTATCTCGTCGAGGTAAGAATCACGACATTTTTTTCTTTCAATTTCTTGTCTTTTTTAGGAATATTTATTTGAAGAAAAAGAATAATCGAAAGAACTATTAATGCAATTTAGTCAACAAGCAGAATCAATGCGTATGTTGATATACGACAAGTTATGATTTATGGTCAAGTGAAATCTAAAATCGATACAGCATATGCACATCGTCAATGTCTTGCTAGCGAAATGATACCAATCAAACAAATTATCGAATTATGTCCAGCTTTATCAATCGCAGACTTCGTAAGTATCGGAAAGTGTGTTTTTTATGATAGACAAATAACTCAGTAAAATACTGCTGAATTGAAATATTCTTAATATTATATATAAATACATTTCTTTCTTCTTTTTCTTTTATAAACAGATGATTCGTGAAATGAATCTTCATTTTGATCCATTTCATGGTGATATTCAAGCATTACAATCAACTTTTACAAAATTGGCTACAACTCTGGATCATCAAGAAAAAAAAGACTACTAAAGGTAATGCATTTTACTAATCTTTGTAATTATATTATTTTTTTTATTTTTTAGAATAACAGCCACTATTTGTATTGAAGCATCTGATCATGAAACGTTATCAGCACTCAAAACAATTGTTATTAACTCATGTAAGTATTTTTATTAACCATTACAGTTATTGCACGATTCTCATTGCTTAATTTTGGCATGATTTATTTTAGGAAGCAATATTGGCACCTATCCACTGAGACAGATTCAAGCAATTAAAACGTTTTTTTTGCGCACAATGTATTTCGGACTATTTTTTTAAATCTGATTCGAGCTTTTTTTTCTATGATGTATTTCGAACGTGAAATAAAATAAGTAAAAGAAATTCAATTATGGAATAAAAAGAAAAATCTCAATGAAAATGAAAATGAAACTTGAATTTCAAGTTTCTAGAAAATGTTCAGATTGGTAAATTGAATGCGAATTTCTAGGAAAGTCCATACGAATTCGCTTTCGATTTTCTAATTAGAAATTCGAATTTCTTATTTCTATCTTCTAGAATATCGTATTTTCAAGAAAGTAGAAATTCGTCGTTGAATTCGTATGGACTTTCCTAGAATATCTTTTATCATATTCTATAATGCATTTTCTAGTTTACAGTGTATGCAGAAAAAGAAAAACGATACAGGTTGCTTTACTCGAACACAAGTCGCAACTCTAACAGAACGTCACGAACAAAAACAAATTACTTTGTTGGAGTTTATTCATGGCTTATCAATGATCGTAGCTCAGCATTCTATAATTATTCATTGATTTTATCGTTCAAATACTTTTCTTCTAAATCGATACTTTTTTATATCATTGATGCTCATGTATTACATTTCTTTTAACTTAAAAAATACCATGATTTTTCACTTTTAATTAAACTGCAGATTTATCTATTTTGCACTTCTCTATTTTGTCCTTCACAATTTGCACAAAATATATTTTCGCTAAAAAACATTTAGCTAAAGGATCTTTTCGCTCAAATTTTTTTCGCTATTTTTTTTCGCTGTTTTGCATTCGCTCAAATGTTTTTCGCTGATTTACCACCATACCTTTTTAGGTGATAATAACGGACAACTTATTATGTGCATACCTGGATGCGGCGGTACAGGCAAATCACAACTTATTCGTGCTCTCAGAAAATACTTTCTAATTACAAAGAGAATGCAAATGATGCGAAAGCNCAAGACCTAATTCAATTTCTAATTCATCTTCATTGATATCGATCACCTGTTGTATATCATTTTGTTGAAAAATAAGTACCTGATTGTTTTCAGGATCAGGTATTATATCGAGAGCGATGATTGTTGATACTGTTGTATTCATTCTTAGCAATGATAGCATTCAAATGAATTCACGCCATTTATTTTTTCTGAAGGCGTTACGGAGAAAATCGATATTCTCTCTCTCTCTCTATTTTGAGCCAATGAGCTAAATGCTTTTATTTTTTTTTGTCGAAAGACTGAAGCACAATATCTTCCACAAAAGAAATATTTTGTATCACATAGGTATTTTTTTATTATCAAATTATGTATATAAAAATTGCAGAAAATGATAATCATTATTAACTGTTAATATGTATATGAGAGATCATCAGCCGAAGTAATGTATCACGATCATTCGATAATTTTAATGCTAGATTATGATACGTATCTAAATTATAATGATATTGACTAGCTACATAATTCTTTGATTATGTTTTCGATTGTCTATAATAAAATTGAATTTTCAAGATAGTTGTCCATCAGATCAACTTATAATTGTTGTTCATATCAATCTTGACATATTGTAAATCTTGTATATTCTTTAATTCTTGTTCTAGATACACTGTAAACTGGAAAATACATGATAGACTATGTTATAGGATATTCTAAATGATAGGAATAAGGAATTCAATTTTATTTCTATTCCATCATTTAGTTTAGTTTATTTCACATTTGTAATGTAGGCAATGAGAATAAGTTAATGTTAACGAGATCTGATGAAAAATATATAGATTGCACATAGAGTGATTATTCAATTTATATTCATTTAAAAATCGTTTTGCAACTAATGATAAATCATTTAGGACTTTTAATGTTGCTCGTAGTTTTGCTGGATATTCTATATTGAATATTTCGTACGATCCATTTAAAATAGATATTGTTTCAGATTGTGAGTTCGTTGTAATAATTGTGTTGTATTCAATAACAATAGAATCATTTTTAATATTTTTAGCTATTTGTATTTGAACATTCAAAGATTAATAAAAAAGGGATTACCTTCTTGATGATTCATATTTTTAAACAATTTTCCACAACTGAATTTTAATGTTTAAATAATATCACCATCAAATGGATCACAGCGAAGATTGATTTAACTGTTACTAACATAGAAAAAAAAAGTAAAATAAATAATATACAACATAAAGAATATTAAAACTCAGCAATCTCTTATCAGTATAATGAATTAAAATAAAGAAACTTGTTGATGGCGGGAATTATTATTGAATTTTATTCTTGGAAATTTTAATATTAGAAACAATTTTAGATAAAATAGGCTACTAAATTATTGAAAGAATTTCATTTTGTATCGAATGATGTATGTATTTTCATGTGCCTGATTTTTTTTCTAATTAATTCAGTTATATTTTCAACAAATATATATTGAGCAATAGTATATCGAGTGTTTCACATGAAGATATTGAAGTAGTTATGAAGTATATTTTTATCAGACATTTAAAGACGTAAATAATAACTATAGATAAAATAAAAACAAAATAAAGCAACGAAAGCTAAATAGAAAATTTTTGTTTTGTAGGATAATGGTACTTGATAGTATTAACGATTATATTTAGCCAAATAAATGTAGATTAACTTGGCTTTAATTGTCATGATACAGGTAGATGTCACATGTATACAACCATGAAAGCATTCAACAAGATAATAAGAAAGAGTCCATAAGATAGATTTAATGGTTGATAGTATTTTCTCCTTTTAGAACAATTTTACGAAATCAAGAATTAAAAATTCTACTCAGAAAGACATTTATAGTTTATCTCTTAAGAAAAGATTCATAGATTATTTTGTTAAAAAAAATATCATTTATTTCGATAATCTAAAAGTACACATAAGTAAACTAAAAGCTCATATTATTCGATTAATTATACACGAATGGTACACTTATATCCATCACAAGTTTTCCAATATTTATACTCCAAACAATTTTCAGATGGATCTGTTTTTTAATTTTGAAGAAGAATGTCATTCTATTGTATCAATTCGGTATATACGATTAAAAATTAAATATCCTATTCAATTTAATTGTAATTTTTTATTATGTGTCACTTGATACAGTTAGTTTCGGGTGTGGGTGTAGGTGTGTGGGTGTGAAGAAGCTGCCATGACCGGTTTCGACTATTGCTTAGATAGTCTCATCAGATGGCTTATAATTATTCTGAATTATTCTTAAACGAAAATTCAAAACAAATTATAATATCTTCAAGAATTTACAAAATTATCTTAAATAATAATAATGTAATAGAAGAATTAAATTTTCAAAGCAGTTGCGCGAACAGCTGCCATGATCTAGATTTCTTGGGGGTGTGGGGTGTGTCAAGCAACCGCAATACAGTTGTATTTCATAATTGCAAATAATTATCGTGTGGCAAAGTATCAATACAGTAGTTGATTCAAGGATCAGTTTTAAATACTTAATTTAATGAAAGAATTTTCATACAAAAGTAAATAAAGGCCATTTTATGTGAAGTCACACTGTTGTTTCTCAATATGATACTTCTCGTCTAGCTTTTCTGAACTTTTATTCGTATATGTAATTTTGCACTTCTTATAGTACAATATTCGCATAGATTTAAATGTACGTATTGATTATGTTAAGAAGTATTAAATGAAATATTGAAAAGATCGGTCAAGTTATGTTAAAATTCTTGAACTTTGCATGTAATAGCGCCAACATATGCTTGGTTTAATGGTCCACGATAGAATACAGATGAAACACCTTGTACATTCACATTAATTTCATCTTGTGCCACAATATACGCAGTACTGACACCTTGTAAAACAGCCGTTACGTGATTCATTTTACATTGTTCTGCATCTAATTTACTGGTACCACTTTGTTCAATATTAGTCCATTGGTGAACAATGCCAGAAATTGTCAACTCTGATGTTCCATTCATTGTTAGTTGTAAACCATTTTCCGAATATAATTTAAGATGTCCTTTTCTTGTCCCGTTAAACGATACTGTAAATAGGCCGTCAATTGCAGATATTTCATTAGTTGTTTCGAAAAGTCCTGTACCGTTGGCAGTTAAACTTTTCAACTTGTATGTTGCGGGAAATTGAACATACACAATCATTTTCGTGTAACGACAGTTATGATCTTGTACTGTCAATAAATTTTCATTGACATAAATCTCGATGGCTTCAGTATTATGTAGATTTTCATCTGTTTCAACTTCAATGAACATCGTATCCCCTTGTGTTAGGCGAACTTCAACTGTACCATTCACCATAATCGAATCAAAGTTCCTATTGAGTCCATACTGTCTACGTTGAATAATACCGTTTCCAATGAACACTGTGTTTTGACTGAATATAGTCGCAGCTCTCCCTGAAATCACAAACAATGCCACACAAAGGGTACCCAAAACAATCATAGTGTAACTATATTTACACTGGAGAAATTACAAATAGGACTAAATTTATAGAAAAAAATATATGAACCCCATGTATCCAATAAAATATAAGTTAGATAACCTACTGTCAAATCACTATTAAAAAAGGTAACAAAAAAAATCGTCTAAAGTGGCAGGGTCTAGAATACAACAAAAGGTATAGGATAGACAAACGCAAGAACAAGAGTGACAGACAATATTTCCTAACACTTTTTTTTTTCATGCAACTCTTACAATAAAAACAATGTTCGACAGAGAAATTTATTAAGACTCATAAGTGATTTGGTACGTATCCCATGGATCTTTATACTTGACACATCATTTTTCGTTTTACTCTTTTACTACATGTTTTTGTTTTTTGGTACATCATTTGTAAAATCTCTGATCACTAAAAAAAAAGAAACGATCGAATCTGCATATCTCACTGTCACATAAGGTCACTGCTAATATTATACCTAGTGTACTGGTCAATTCAAGAGTAGGAAAAAAAGGGATAACATCCTCATTCATTCATCACAGTACGTTAGACAATTCTTTTATCATGAATCGATCCTGTTCAAACAGTATTGAAATAAGGCATAAACTAAATAATCTGATCTTTGTTAAAATAAATCTGAGAAAAAAGCCTGATAGCGAAAAAAAACAATGACTAAACGCTGCATTAATAATGCATATTTTCTCAAATAAAAAAAATCCTATATTTTTCTATTGAAAAATGTAATGAGGCAATATCGCTGGAAAATTGCATTTGTGTCGTATTCATCGCCTGGTTTCATTTAATGAACTTACCGTTCAACAGATTCATACAATTACCAAGATTAACCGGCCCAGAAATATTAATATTGTTTCCATTTTGAGGCGATTGGTTAGGATATGATTGTTGTGACATCTAGTATTTCTAAAATGAGAAAACGAGTCAATTTACATTTAAAAAGTATTCAAGAAACATTGAATAGTTCCTTACTTGATTGGTGTTGAAGCTGTAAATAAGAGAATGAGGATGAAGAAGACACTACAGTAGCAGGTTATTAACTATATGTTAACTATAAAAGCAAATGAAATTCATCGTTGAAGAATATTTATATTTGAGTAACGTCACGAGAGCGCGTGGTATGTATGTGTACAGTAATGCCTGACACATGGGAATTTTCTTTCTTTGTTTTTTTTTCATTTGAATTGTTTATCGCTTTTCTACACATCATTTTTTAACATGCTACTGAATGCAGAGAGAAAGACAACATGCATAATGTCTCAATATTTAGTGAGATTGAATTTTTACCGGCATTAGCACTGAATTAAGGAATTAAAGAATAATAATAAGAAGAATATAAATCATACAATTATTTATTCATGATAATAAACAAGAAGATTCTTCCAGCATCATTTGAGAATAGTGAAAAACTATTCGGATCAAATATGATCAAAATTGGCTGGTTTTATTTAATATGAACGTCAAGAAGTAAAGACGACATGTATAGAGAAGGAAAAAAAAGGAAATAATCTTGATTAATTCGATTAATCTTGTATATATATAAATACGATAGTACCAAGGAGAAAAATTTGATTTTTTCTGATTCAAATCAAGAAAAAAATCGACAAAAAATCAGAACAATCAAAAAAATTAGAAAAAATTACAAGAATGGAAGAATCAAAGAAATCGCTGAAAATGAAATCAAAAAACAAAAAGGAAAAATCAAAAATATCCGAAAAAATAGAAAAATAAAACAAATCAAGAGATGAAGAAAAAGCTGACTTTAGCTGTTTTCCCCTTGTATAGAATCATTTGGGCTTTCTGAACGCAAAGGAAATTGAGCCATTATAATTTGCTTCTTTGCTATTTGTTTTGCTGTCATTTTTTTCTTCTTCATTTGGTTTCTGATTATTTGGTTTCTGATTATTTGGTTTCTGATTATTTGGTTTCTGATTATTTGGGCCTGTCGGGTTGCCTGCAATATTACTTATAGCAACATTTCCACCTGCACTAACCGGTCCAGAAATATTAATATTGTTTCCATTTTGAGGCGATTGGTTAGGATATGATTGTTGATATGATTGTTGTGACATCTAGTATTTCTAAAATGAGAAAACGAGTCAATTTACATTTAAAAAGTATTCAAGAAACATTGAATAGTTCCTTACTTGATTGGTGTTGAAGCTGTAAATAAGAGAATGAGGATGAAGAAGACACTACAGTAGCAGGTTATTAACTATATGTTAACTATAAAAGCAAATGAAATTCATCGTTGAAGAATATTTATATTTGAGTAACGTCACGAGAGCGCGTGGTATGTATGTGTACAGTAATGCCTGACACATGGGAATTTTCTTTCTTTGTTTTTTTTTCATTTGAATTGTTTATCGCTTTTCTACACATCATTTTTTAACATGCTACTGAATGCAGAGAGAAAGACAACATGCATAATGTCTCAATATTTAGTGAGATTGAATTTTTACCGGCATTAGCACTGAATTAAGGAATTAAAGAATAATAATAAGAAGAATATAAATCATACAATTATTTATTCATGATAATAAACAAGAAGATTCTTCCAGCATCATTTGAGAATAGTGAAAAACTATTCGGATCAAATATGATCAAAATTGGCTGGTTTTATTTAATATGAACGTCAAGAAGTAAAGACGACATGTATAGAGAAGGAAAAAAAAGGAAATAATCTTGATTAATTCGATTAATCTTGTATATATATAAATACGATAGTACCAAGGAGAAAAATTTGATTTTTTCTGATTCAAATCAAGAAAAAAATCGACAAAAAATCAGAACAATCAAAAAAATTAGAAAAAATTACAAGAATGGAAGAATCAAAGAAATCGCTGAAAATGAAATCAAAAAACAAAAAGGAAAAATCAAAAATATCCGAAAAAATAGAAAAATAAAACAAATCAAGAGATGAAGAAAAAGCTGACTTTAGCTGTTTTCCCCTTGTATAGAATCATTTGGGCTTTCTGAACGCAAAGGAAATTGAGCCATTATAATTTGCTTCTTTGCTATTTGTTTTGCTGTCATTTTTTTCTTCTTCATTTGGTTTCTGATTATTTGGTTTCTGATTATTTGGTTTCTGATTATTTGGTTTCTGATTATTTGGGCCTGTCGGGTTGCCTGCAATATTACTTATAGCAACATTTCCACCTGCACTAACCGGTCCAGAAATATTAATATTGTTTCCATTTTGAGGCGATTGGTTAGGATATGATTGTTGATATGATTGTTGTGACATCTAGTATTTCTAAAATGAGAAAACGAGTCAATTTACATTTAAAAAGTATTCAAGAAACATTGAATAGTTCCTTACTTGATTGGTGTTGAAGCTGTAAATAAGAGAATGAGGATGAGAAGACACTACAGTAGCAGGTTATTAACTATATGTTAACTATAAAAGCAAATGAAATTCATCGTTGAAGAATATTTATATTTGAGTAACGTCACGAGAGCGCGTGGTATGTATGTGTACAGTAATGCCTGACACATGGGAATTTTCTTTCTTGGTTTTTTTTTATAATCGCTTACGTATGCAGCAAAACAAATAAAACCTCAAAAGGAAAGTGTGGGCGAATGAGTCAATGTTTTGCACAATAAAAAGAGAACTTGTTTTCGTGTACATACTGCCAAACTCAATTGTTATTTATTTGTGATCAACTCGTAGTAATAATTAGTCGAATTTGATTTTCTAGTGTGCTATTGTCAGCTATTGTACAATTGGTTGATTTATTTTTATATATGTTACTTGAAAATGGATAAGCCTGTTCAGGGTGAAGAAACACGTGCGATGGGTAAGAAGAAAAATGAACGCATTCAACGTGGGGGCCCATCTGAACAACAAATGGCTTTTAATAATACTGGTAACCGTATTAATAATAGTGGTAGCTGTACTACAATGGATCATTCGAATAACACAACTGTGACTTGTAATATTCAGATAAATTACATTTCCGCGGAACCATACACATCTCCACAACAACCCCAACCTCTATTCCAACAACTTCAACCACAATCCCAACCTCTATTCCAACAACTTCAACCACAACCCCAACCTCTATTCCAACAACTTCAACCACAAGCCCAAGGGGTGTGGGTGTGGGTGTGAAGAAGCTGCCATGACGCGTTTCATCCCTGCTAAAGGAGTCATCAGTTGGCAAATATCCTTAATGAAAAATTTTTTGAAAAATGAATAAATAAATTCCAAAATCTTGAGGGTGTGAGGGTGTGTAATCAAATAGAAACAGATCAATCTATCTTCTAACTAACGAAAAGACAAATCAATCTGCTGGTCTCAACTCTTGCTTTTCAGCAATCGATCAAAGTCGTATTTAATTTTATAGAAAAAATTTAGAAATTGTACTTGAGTTTTAAAATGAATAAGTAAATGCAGAGTTAATTTTCCGACGCGTTTCATGTTTATT